GTTTTTTTCTCTTGAGCGTAAACACCAAACAGTGTGTAATCTTTTCATTCTCCTGACACCAATTCTCGAGCTACGTATTTCCTTTTGGTATCAATGTGTTCGCAGTAAAATTCTCTACAAGATCATATGTATAAAATGTAACCAAAGCATTCGCTATTCCACCACGAAATAAATAAAAACGTAGATCACTCGCCGTACGCCCAAACAGCAACAAAATGTTCATACTCTTTTGTTTGTTGTCAGCTCCACATTAGTCCTACAGCGTTAAATTTTATATCACTGAACTCATAATAAAATTCTCTACACAGACATATGCATATAAATGTAGAATCATGATCGCAGCCAACACAAGAGTGTGTGAAGTGGGCGATTACCCTCGTTGTGTCACCAACTCAATACAGTATCCACTCAATTTAACGGCCTCTTTTATACCGATCTGCCGGTAATAACGACCGGTTTGGGAGACCGGTATTTAGAGCCTCATATAAAGGTCTGGCGGTCGATATTACCAAAGGTCGGTATTGGGTTTGTCTTTGTATCAGAGGGTCCTCACATGGCAAGCAGGCCGCCTACCCCTTTCATTCAGTCCCTCACCCTCACTTTCTGCCTTCCCCCCCTCCCCAAGACCCTTCTGGGAAATGGCTCAGTAGACTGCCAGCCAGCCAGAGACAGCCTGGAGAATATCCATCTAATAAAGCATTCATGAAACAAGTATTTTATAACTTTTTATTATCCTAAAAACAAAATCTGCAAGCCAAAATATATATGATGTACATCCAGAATTAAATAAAAAACATCTGGTTAACTGGGTCAAGCGTTAGGCTTATCTCTTCCCTTCCCCACCACCAACACCCCCCCCACCCGACCCCCCCCCATACTTCCCATAAACATACTCTCTCTCTGCTTCACATCATCATCCATTGCTCCATCCCTCCCTCCCTCTCTTCTTCCCCCCCTCCATCCAACCATCCCTCCCTCCTTCCCAGCTTCCTTCCTCCATCCAACCATCCCTCCCCTCCATCCCTTTGTCCTTCCTTCCCTTTCTCCATCCCTTCCTCCTTCCCTTTCTCCATCCCTTCCTCCTTCCCTCTTTCCATCCCTTCCTTCCTCCTTCTCTCCCTCCCTCCATCTCTCCCTCCCCTCCATCCCTCCTTCCCTCCATCCCTCCTTCTCTCCATGCCTCCTTCCCTCCATCCCTCCCTCCTTCCATCCATCCATCCATCCGTCCTTCCCAGCTCCCTCCCTCCATTCAACCATCCCTCCCTCCCTCCTTACCTCCATCTCTCCCTCCCCTCCATCCCTCCTTCCCTCCATCTATACCTCCCTCATTCCTTCCTTCCATCCAAACATCTGGTTAATTGGGTCAAGTGTTAGGCTTATCTCTTCCCTTCCCCACCACCGACACACACACACGTACCCCCACCTGCCCCCCCATACTTCCCATACATGCTGTCTCTACTTCACCTCAACATCCATTGCTCCATCCCTCCCTCCCTCTCTTCTTCCCTCCATCACTCCCTTCGTCCTTCCTTCCCTTCCTCCTTCCCTCTATCACTCCCCCTCCATCCCTTCCTCCCTCCTTCCATCTCTTCCTCCCTCCCTCCCTCCTTCCCAGCTCCCTCCCTCCCTCCTTCCTTCCCTCCCCTCCTCCCCCATCCCTCCCTCCATCTCTCCCTCCTTCCCTCCCCTCCATCCCTTCCTCCCTCCTTCCCTCCCTCCCTCTCTCCCTCCTTCCCTCCCCTCCATCCCTTCCTCCCTCCCTCCCTCCCTCCTTCCATCTAAACATCTGGTTGCGAGCTGGTCCCTTCCCCCACCACGACACCCCCCTTCCCCCCAAACTTCCCGAACACACGCTCTCTCTGCTTCACCTCAACAACCATAGCGCCATCTCTCCCTCCCTCCATCAATCCATCCATCCATGAATCCATCCCTCCATCCATCTCCATCCTACCATCCACTCCCTCCCTACCTACCATCCATCTCCATCCACTCCCTCCCTACCTACCACCCGGCCTCTGCCTGCCTGCCTCCCTCCTTGCTGCTCCCTCCCTGCCTACCACCCAGCCTCCGCCTGCCTCCCCCCCCTCCCTGCTTACCACTCAGCCTCTGCCTGCCTGCCTCCCTCCCTCCCTCCCTCCCTCCATGCATACCACCCAGCCTCTGCCTCCCTCCCTGCCTCTGCCTGCCTGCCTCTTGCCTGCCTGCCTGCCTCCCTCCCTCCCTCCTTCCTTGCCTGTCCCTCCCTGCCTACCACCCAGCATCTGCCTGCCTCCCTCCCAAGCTCTGCCTTCCTCCTTGCCTCTCCCTCCCTGCCTACCTCCTTGCCTCTCCCTCCCAACCTCTCCCTGCCTGCCTGCCTACATTTCAGCCTCTCCATCCCTGCCTGCCTGCCCATCCACCCACCAGTCAGCCATCACTGACACAACGAGTGCATTTGGAGCCAACATGGTGCACGGATGTTCCTTGATTGTGCCGATATGTCCAACAAAGTCACGGAATGAATACTCCAGCCTCATGACAAATCAAAACAATGTGCCATGAATCTGTGACGTCACAGGGTAGAAGGCACTAGAGTGGTGGACCCAGTGGCTGTCTGTATAAAATATATCTTACCTGAACGTTGCTTGAAAAATTACCGACACTTAACTTCGGAAATACCAGAGCTCCGGAAATAACGATCAGGGTACAGCCCCATATAGGCCGTTAAATCGAGTGGATACTGTAGTCTCTCCTCTAAGTTACAATACAATGCCGTTTTCTCAAATAGGCACTGTGCCTATTAGAGAAAACGGAAATTTAATGGCAAACATATTCATGCAAACCCCAAGTTGATCGAGTAGTATATACCTACTATAAAACGGACCGTAAATGTACGGCGCGACCACACAAGCGATAGAAATAAACCCGCCGTGTATCCACGTGCCATGGGCATGAAAGTGTTCTTAATTAACATCACACATCACCAAAATCTTTGAGAGAGTGCTAAGAAGTAAGATCACAAAATACATGGAATCACAGCATCTCCATAACCCCGGACAACATGGTTTCAGAACAGGGCGCTCTTGCCTATCACAGATGCTGGACCACTATGACATGGCACTAGATGCCATGGAAGACAAACACCCGCCTGTACCGACAAAAGATTATCATTAGTTTGAGTAAACTGAGTCACCAGCAAGCAGCAAAACTCGCAGGACTTCGGGTCAAAAGTGTCACTGACCCAACAGGACGCGTGGAGGCAAAAACAGCGAGTGTCACCCTGAGACAAGTGGACCGAGCAACCCTCAAACTCACGTGAAGCGAGGGGGGGGGGAACTCAGGGGTCACATCCATCGGACCCGCGCGCCCCCTGGGGTTTCCCAGGGTCCTGAGATGGAACTCACGCTCTGGGAATCCCAGGCAGGGTACTGCTAACCGGTGCCTAAAACTATCAAGCAATTCTCTAAAGCTGAATCTCAGGTACACTTACGGGGGTCTAGCAAGGGGGAAGGGGGAACCACCAGAAGAGAACCGTATTCAGGTCAGGTACAAATGGGCAACAAGCAAGGCAGACCCCCACAAGGTAAAAACAAAAAGAAAAACAAAACCCAGCAAGAAGACAACGTACCCAAAAGGAACAGAGCCGGCCGCTTTGAATGGTAAAAACAAGCTGGTCAGCACCCTGCGCCCCTTACCACTGCAAGCCGCCTCTTACCCTAAGGTAAACAAGGGAGACAAAACCCCAAAGCACCCAAAGGGCAGCCCAAAAACAGAGCAGTAAATCGGCTTAGCAGAGGCAGGTCCCAAGGAGCTTGTGGAAGGTGGCCCCAAGCCCCAAGGGCAGTACTTAAAGGGCACCTAGGGACGAGAACCCTAGGCGCATGCAGCCCGAGTACTGTAGAATAATAACTCCTGGCTCATGCAACCCCTGGAGGACAGTCACCACACTCAAAGCACAGTGCTGAAAATCACTTGAGCCAGAGCACACGACCATCGCCTCTAGCATCAGCCTTAGAACTGAAGGGTGGATAGCCGGCGCAGGGGTCTGGGGGCTCTACCTTCTCCCACCCAGGGAGGGGGAAGCTGCACAGACAGCGGTGTGGCGACGTGTGACATCATGCTCATTTGCTTGTTTCTTTTTGGAGAGTTCTATCCACTTGTTCGGCTTTTGGTAGCAATTTTCACCAGAAAAGAGGTTTGTTTTGGGACGCTTACCTTTCTGGGTGCCTCACCCGGTCGATAGCAGACACGAAATGCTTTGGGGGCCTCGTAGCCTGGTGGATAGCGCGCAGGACTCGTAATTCTGTGGCGCGGGTCCGATTCCCGCACGAGGCAGAAGCAAATGGGCAAAGTTTCTTTCACCCTGAATGCCCCTGTTACCTAGCAGTAAATAGGTACCTGGGAGTTAGTCAGCTGTCACGGGCTGCTTCCTGGGGGTGGAGGCCTGGTCGAGGACCGGGCCGCGGGGACACTAAAGCCCCGAAATCATCTCAAGATAACCTCAAGATAACCACACAAGGGTTTCTATAGGCCATTGCTCCTCATGCCGAAGGGGAGGCAGGGAGGTACAGGTAGGGAGCCGAAGGGGCTCCCCCCAGAAAAAGAATAGAAAAAATGAGTAAAGCAGTGAATAATATAAATACTATATTTTCTGGTGGATAGGACATGTTATAACATTAGGTTTAAAATAGCTGTCGCAGCTTAAACAAAGGAACATGGTTATGGGGAAGCTGCACATAAAAAATCATTTTCAATAAATGTATCATGAAACATACAAAATTTTTGTCCACTAAATATCCTTGTAAAATAGAGGTGCATGTGTCTTTAAATACAGCACTATACTTTGTAACGATTTCTTTCTACTTAACAAATCAATGAATCTCATCTTCATGTAAATTTTGATTTGGATTAATTTATCATACTTAAACTCTTTAAGCTATCCTATGTTAGAGAGTATAAATTTTGAGCTTAGGAAAAGTTAAACAGAATTAACCACATAAGAACTTGCAATTCCCACTCACCATTTTTATTCCAAGTAAAAGTGTCTCGTAGTTTTTGGCCCTCAATTTCCATATCTAATCGGATGGGCACCAATTCTTCTCTCTGACAGGAATTCTCATGAATCTGAGCAGGGTCAAGGTCATCATAGCTGTAGAGGGTAAAGGCACTGACAACTCAGTATGTACAGTACATAATTTTACCACAGAGCCAAAATGTAATACTGTACAGTACAACCACGATTCAGCGCACTATATGGGACCAAGCCCGGTGCATTGGAGCATTTTATTCGTTTCAGGAGGTGACCTTTAGGAGGCATTTGCGTCAGTGTCTTTTTTTTTTTCTTGTCAACAATAAAAATGCATTATCATATTATATACTGTACCTATATATTATTACTCTACTAAAAAATACTGTGTTACAGTTGTTATTTACCTTACTGTTGGAGTTATGTCCATCTTGATTTCTCATGGAGTTGTGAATGCTGTACAGTATATATGTACTGTAATACCATAATGGTATTATGTCGTTAGCACTGAATTAGTAAGTTCTGCTGTATGTTGAGTACTGTACTTCAATACAGTTTATGAAAACTTTTACACTAAAATTTCTGTACTGCAACCTTAAGTTTAATACTAACAATATGTACTTAAATTTAACACTTTAACTGTACACTCCACACACTATGTTCTTAGATGTTTGCATCAGCTTTACTGGTACTCGTTGCTGCTGTGTTTGTTTCAGCTGCTTTTCAGCTGGTGCTGGCTGCTGTTGTACCGATGCTGGGTACGGCTGTGCTCGTGCTAAGTACGGCTGTGCCTGTGCTGGGGTACAGCTGTGCCTAGTGCTTGGGTACGGCTGTGCTCGTGCTGGGTACGGCTGTGCTCGTGCTAAGTACGGCTGTGCTCGTGCTAAGTACGGCTGTGCCCGTGCTGGGGTACAGCTGTGCCTAGTGCTGGGGTACAGCTGTGCTCGTGCTGGGTACGGCTGTGCTCGTGCTAAGTACGGCTGTGCCCATGCTGGGGTACAGCTGTGCCTAGTGCTGGGGTACAGCTGTGCTCGTGCTGGGTACGGCTGTGCTCGTGCTAAGTACGGCTGTGCCCGTGCTGGGGTACAGCTGTGCCTAGTGCTGGGGTACAGCTGTGTCTAGTGCTGGGGTACAGCTGTGCCTAGTGCTGGGGTACAGCTGTGCTCGTGCTGGGTACAGCTGTGCCTAGTGCTGGGGTACAGCTGTGCCTAGTGCTGGGGTACAGCTGTGCCTAGTGCTGGGGTACAGCTGTGCCTAGTGCTGGGGTACAGCTGTGCTCGTGCTGGGTACAGCTGTGCCTAGTGCTGGGGTACAGCTGTGCTCGTGCTGGGTACGGCTGTGCTCGTGCTAAGTACGGCTGTGCCCGTGCTGGGGTACAGCTGTGCCTAGTGCTGGGGTACAGCTGTGCTCGTGCTGGGTACGGCTGTGCTCGTGCTAAGTACGGCTGTGCCCGTGCTGGGGTACAGCTGTGCCTAGTGCTGGGGTACAGCTGTGTCTAGTGCTGGGGTACAGCTGTGCCTAGTGCTGGGGTACAGCTGTGCTCGTGCTGGGTACAGCTGTGCCTAGTGCTGGGGTACAGCTGTGCCTAGTGCTGGGGTACAGCTGTGCTCGTGCTGGGTACAGCTGTGCCTAGTGCTAAGTACGGCTGTGCCCGTGCTGGGGTACAGCTGTGCTTAGTGCTGGGGTACAGCTGTGCCTAGTGCTGGGGTACAGCTGTGCCTAGTGCTGGGGTACAGCTGTGCCTAGTGCTGGGGTACAGCTGTGCCTAGTGCTGGGGTACAGCTGTGCCTAGTGCTGGGGTACAGCTGTGCCTAGTGCTGGGGTACAGCTGTGCTCGTGCTGGGTACAGCTGTGCTCGTGCTGGGTACAGCTGTGCTCGTGCTGGGTACAGCTGTGCTCGTGCTGGGTACAGCTGTGCTCGTGCTGGGTACAGCTGTGCTCGTGCTGGGTACAGCTGTGCTCGTGCTGGGTACAGCTGTGCTCGTGCTGGGTACAGCTGTGCTCGTGCTGGGTACAGCTGTGCTCGTGCTGGGTACAGCTGTGCTCGTGCTGGGTACAGCTGTGCTCGTGCTGGGTACAGCTGTGCTCGTGCTGGGTACAGCTGTGCTATACAGTGGCACCTCGACTTACGATTGCCCCGACTTACGATAATTTCGAGTTACGATGTAAATTTCATCGAAAAATGCGACTCGACATACGATGGTGTCGTCGACTAACGATATTTGTTGGTACACGTTCGGGTCGACCGAGCGCGTGGTTCCCGGTCACGCGGTCCGACCTGCCTCAGTTTACTACAGCTGCCCGCTTAGTGACGATCGCGCCTATAAGAAATTCCGCGTTTGTGGTGATTTTTTGCATTTTGAACATTAAAGTAATTATTATATATCACACCATGAGTCCCAGGAAAGTCAGTGGTAAGGCTCAACATATGAGATCCCATGTAAGGATGACCATAGAGCAGAAACAAGAGATCATTCGTAAATATGAAGATGGTGTGCGGGTTGTTGAACTAGCTAGGCAGTACAACAAATCTCAGTCAACGATATCCACCATACTGGCTAAGAAAAAGGACATTATGAGTGCTTAAGTGGCAAAAGGCATATCAATAATCACGAAGTATAGAACACAAACACTTGAGGATGTTGAGCAGTTATTATTAATTTGGATACTCACAAAGGAGTTAGCAGGTGATAGCGTTTCAGAGGCCATCATTTGTGAAAAGGCAAGAAAATTGCATGAAGACCTTTTAAAGAAAACCCCTGGAACGAGTGATGCAGAAGTGAAAGAGTTTAAGGCGAGCAGGGGATGGTTTGAGAAATTTAGAAAAAGAAGTGGAATTCAAAGCATTGTGAGGCATGGAGAGGCTGCCATCTCAGACAAGCCAGCAGCTGAAAGATTCATTGGTGAATTTAAAGATTTTGTGCAGTGAGGCATACCTACCACAACAAGTGTTTAATTGTGACGAGACAGGGCTATTCTGGAAAAGATTGCCAAAGAAAACATACATTACCAAGGAGGAGAAGTCATTGCCTAGACACAAGCCTATGAAAGATCGGTTTTCTCTCGTATTGTGTGGTAATGCGAGTGGCGATTCGAAAATTAAACCCTTGCTTGCGTATTATTCCGAAAATCCAAGGGTTTTCAAAAAATAATGTGCAGAAACACAAAATGTGTGTGATGTGGAAGGCTAATGCTAAGGCATGGCTGACTAGGCAATTTTTTACGGAGTGGGTGAATGAGGTGGTGTGCCCTGCCATCAAAATATTTGCAGGAGAACAGTTTGCCACTCAAGGCCCTGCTTCTCGATAATGCTCCTGCCCATCCTCCAAGCTTGGAGGATTCATTGATGAAGGAATTTAGTTTTGTTACAATAAAGTTCCTTCCTCCCAACACCACTCCTCTACTTCAGCCTATGGACCAGAAAATCATTGCCAATTTTAAGAAACTTTATGAAAGGGCACTTTCCGGAGATGTGTCGAAGTGACGGATGCCACAAACCTCACCCTCAAAGAGTTCTGGAAAAACCATTTTAACATTTATAGTGCTTTAAAACTTGTTGACAAAGCCTGGCAAGAAGTGACTGTAAGAACCATGATCTCTGGCTGGAGAAAACTGTGGCCTGAATGTGTTGCAGAACGAGACTTTGAGGGGTTTGAGCCTGAACCTGAAGTGCCTCTTGTTGAGGAAATTGTTTCTCTGGGTCGGCAATTGGGTTTGGAGTTGGATGGTGCTGATGTGGAGGAGTTGGTGGAAGAACACAACGAAGAACTGACCACCGAAGAACTCCAAGCCCTTCAAAAGGAGCAGCAAGAAGAGGCAGCTGAGGAAATTTCTTCAGGGGAGGATGTGTCAGTACAGAATGTCCCTTCCTCAAGAATTAAGAAAATGTGTGCAGCATGGGAAGAATTGCAAAACTTTGCTGAAACGACTCACTCAAATCAAGCTGCAGTAGGCCGTTGCCTTAACCTATTCAATGACACTGTGATGCATCACTACAGACAAATGTTAAAACGAAGGGAGAAACAAATATTTCTTGACAAATTTTTAGTGAGACCACTAAGCAGTGAACCACAACCAGGTCCTAGTGGTATGCAGGCAAAACGTAAGAGAGAGAGTACCCCAGAGAAAACATCACTGCCTGATGTGATAATGGAAGGGGACTCCCCTTCCAAACAGTAACACCTCTCCTCCTCCCCCCTCATCACCATCTTCCATATGCCATCAAGAGTCCTCCATAAAGGTAAGATAAACTTATGTACTGTATTGTAGTTAGAAAAAACATTGTATTCAGTATAAAATGTATTTGTAAGTTAATATTTTGGAGGGTGGGGAACGGATTAATTCAATTCCCTTTATTTCTTATGGGAAAAATCGCTTCGACTTACGATATTTCGACTTACGATCCGTCTCTGGGAACGGATTACCATCGTAAGTCGAGGCCCCACTGTAGCTAAGGCCATTAGCTAAGGAGTTCAAACCTACCAGGGACCAGCACCAGAACCTGGCCCCTTCAGAGAGGTTTCAGGGAGCAATTGCCCTGGAAAACCCCCTTATGGTTAGGGTTTTCCTTATCTGCCATCAACTGGGGTTAGGCACCCAGAAAGGTAGGCATAACAAAAACCCCACATAGTAAAAACTAAAACAGAAAACCGAACAGAGAGGTAGAAACTCCTTACAATCCCAAGAAAACAAGCATACAAGCAAACATCACACTTTACTGCCACACCGATCGTCCGCCCAGCCCTACCCGCCCCGAGAGGGAGAGGGGGGGAGCCCCGGACCTTACCGCGCCGGCTGCCTAGCATCAGTTCGGAAGCCAAGCTTCAACCAACTCGAAAAAACTTCCGACCAGCGGGAGGGAGGATTGCCAGGAAGCCTCCGGGGCTCACCCAGAAAATGGCGTTTCATTACATTCAATGCTGGTTTTCTGTGGGGAGCCCCTATGACTCCCTGGAGCTTCATACCCAAAGAGAAGGAAAAGAAAGGGCTGACCCGGGAGGCGGCCACCACAAACTCCGCAACGCGAAGCCAAGACAACAGGATGTAACCTGCGACCCAAGGCAACGCAAGAACGCACAGGAGCAGACACGTGCACAAAGAACGGGCGGCCAGGAACCTATGCG